AAAAGGTTGTAAGTAGCAAAACAACGCCTTAAAGTGTGGGGGGCTAATTCAATATTAGGACTAATATTTAAGTCATAACGAACTCGGTTTAAAAACTCTCAAAAATCCCTTCGATTAGTTTTGTTAGGTTCTCAATTATGTTCTTTTAATATCTCTATTATTTCGGGAGAGACATAAACATAGCGGTCTTTTTTTCTTTTACCACGTAGTAAGTATAAATCACTATATTCTGGTTCGGGATGTTTTAGTTCTAAATTAAAACTGATGGCCTCAGTTATTCGTAATCCAGTTTTTCAGCAAAGGAGAAATAAGCAGTAATGCAGTCATCTTTTTCTTTCGCTTTTGTGGTTTGGTCTGGTAGCAATAAACTCCTGAATTTCTTGTAAAAGTTGCTGAGAAGGTAATTGCTGTAAACGCTTTTTAGGTTTTTTCATAATTCTCTGAAAACTATTTTTCTTCAGGTTTAGCAAAATAAATGTTATTCATTAAATTAAAACTACTTATTCTTGAGTAGGTTATTTTGAAACTGATAAAGACTTAACATCTTCGAAGATATTGTTTCTGTTATTTTTCAAGTAGTTAAAAATATATTCTCTTCACTCTTTATCAGAAATGGTTATTGTATAAATTGCACTAGAAACTTTATAATCTTCTTCTACCATTACTACTCTTTCTCACCAATTAGGATAGACAAGACAAGGAAATAGTATATCGTTCTCTTCAGCGATTCTAGAACTCTGCTTATTTTTAAAATTGCCGGTGATTTTATTGCCTTTAAGATTAGTAATTTCAACATATTTTAGGGAGTTTGATTTTTCTCATCATAATTTTTTGCTCTCTGAATATTAATTTGACAAAGCCCAAGTTTTTCTAGTTTTTAACCACTCCTTCGGATCGATGCCAGATAAGGATTGACTTGGATTAGATTTTGGATTGACTGTTCTTGCTGGCAGCGAGTTTGTCAACGATTTCGCCTTCTTTGCATTAAGTTTCTTGTTCTAATAAATTTGGTTCTAATCTCACAAAGTCTTTCTACTTCTTGTCAACTAAGTTTTTCAAATCCTTCACTTACCTTTCATTTTGCTAATCTTAGTTCGGTATTGGCTAACTCTAAAAAGG